AACTCAAAAAACTATGTCTAGAAATTATTTGTTGATAGATGATAACCAAGGTCAAGAGTTGAACATATTTCTCAATAATGATCAAATTAAATATAAACCATAAAACGAGGATATTACTCCATATATTCATCATCAAAGTGTTCACATACAAAATAAAAAAGTTAAATACATACAAAAATGAGATTATCTACCACTAACCTTGACAGAAAAAGAGGTTTAGCTACCCAATGTCATGCTAGCTTGATCAACAAGTAAACAACAAAGATTTATTAACATCAAACTTGAAGTCTCAAAGATTGATGTCGGAAAGCTTTGATTTTGGGAAAAAATGGTTTTTTTCTCCACACAAGAGTTTTTCTAGGTTACAAGTCTATTAGAAAATTTAATAATGATCCTAAAATATCTAAAAATTGACTTAAAAATATGGCTTGTCCGCCACGCCTCTCCGGGCGGCACGCATGCTTCACCGGGCGAGATCCACTTAACAAGCCCACGTGAGAACAATAGTGCACGCAAGCCTCATAAATATTTTGCCTCGTCGGGAAAGACCTATGTGTCACTGGGCGAGTCCTTCTCGCCGATTCTTCGTTGGGCGCTCCAACAGGCGACACCAAGACAATAGCTATTGGAATTTGAAATTTCTCTCGCCAGCTGCCTCGCCTCGCCTTCGTCGGGCGAGGCTTCCTTCACTCGCCTTCCTATCATCGAGTGAGGCTTTTGGAACACAGACGGTGATCTTTCTCTGTTTCTTCAACTCTGAGATCGTATTACACTATGACTTATAAACAAAAAAATACTGGAAAACTAACAAACACATTAAAACGTTCAAAGTAATTTACATTTAAGTAAAATGACTTAAAATAAGCTATTATCATAATCAAAAGAATATAAATAGCTTAAAAGTGTCAATATATTATATGGAAAATAACCAAAAGTTGACACTTAACAACTCTCCCCAACTTGCATCTTTGTTTGTCCACAAATCAAAGGTAAGATTTCAAAGACAACAAGAAAAAACATAAAAGCACAAAATCAACTGGAAGAATTTTGGATGGTTCAAACTCGACAATTACGCGCATAAGGTAAATTAATCACTTTGCAAGAATCGTAACATGAAAATGAATTAAGCTCTAAACACAAATATCACATAATGCAAACTTTAGAAACGACATGTTCATGTATGAATACCAAAATCACTCAACAAAATATGCATTATGCATAATATGTACAATCGACAAAAAACTTTCACTAGTAATCGTGGCACATCCAGAATAATTCATGCAATCATCAAAGCAAACTAAAAGAAAATTATAGAAACAAGATCACTAAGGGCTTTTAAGGTTGTAGCTTGGCTCGGGTTAAAAACAAAGGATAATATATACACGATCAAAGAAACAAAATGAGTAAAATCATGAAGAGCATTTTGATACAACCCCCACATTCTTTTCCATCATTCATTTCTTTTCTTACAATGCATCCTATCCTTTCTTTTTCAAGATTGATTCTCATTTCCTTCTTTTTTCTTTCTTTGTGTTATTCTTTTTTCTAACTTTTTGTGATATTTTTCAAAGGATGCATTGTACTACCAATTCTTTTTACTTTTTTCAAATAAACCTTCTCCCCAACTTTCACTATTTCTATCTTATTAGAAAAACAATTTTCTTTATTAGAGGTCAAAGCACAATTGGGTTAAGTGTTTACAAACAAGAAAATTTTGGATTGAATCAATATCAAATTTCTTTATGTTCAACAACAAAATTACTAAGTGATTTACTTAATAATTTGTTTTGAATTTTATTGATTCAATCACACAATTTTTAAGGCTCAAAATGGTTTCTAATATACACTTACTACAAGGTGAGTTGAAGCCTTTTAGAATGGTGGTTCTTCTCATAGTACAAAAAAAATGTCTTGATCACTTCCTAATTTCCATAATTTCTAAAAGTAATGCATGATTAAACATGAATTAAACGAGTTAACAACAATTACTAGAATTCTTCAACTTTTGGTGAACAATGGAAAGCTACTCAAATATGTTGTTTTTGTCCTAATGATTCACACATGGACACATATTTACAAAATAATGCATAACACGATTTTTGTATAAAGCACTATTTCATTATCGTGATATCATTCTACAAAGCGATTAAACAATACCTTCTTTGTACAACATTGAGACTTTTATCATCACCATCCAAATTTTTTAGTTGATGAAACCTCTTGAAAAGCTGAATCTGCTCCTTGAGCACTTAAGTCCAAAACTATTTACAATGACAAACACAACAAATTCTCTTTGTACAAATAGCAATTAAATATTACGCTACTACTTATATTTTTTTTTAAAATTAATTAAAATAAAAGGTGTCTTTGGTGTACAACACTGATCGGTAAAATAGCAAGTGTACTATTTTATCGATGTAGTAATAATGGGGAAAAACCCCAAAGTCGATCTCTTGAGGACTGCACAGCGAAATTAAGTTTGTTTGAATGAATATCAATTGAACAAAAGCAATAGTTGATTGTTTATTTTGAACTACAATATTATGAAAACTAAATTTACGAGAAGTTTATATGTTATGATGAGAATAATGCCAGGACGGTGTATGAATTGCGATACAATGACCAACTTATTTCGTTATTAAAAAGATCTATGTTTCACCTTTTCTTTCCCTATGCCTAAGGTTATTTTTCCGCAATTCCTTTTAAGAAAAACCTTTGGTATTCTCTCTTTGCCCTAATTCCTCAGCTGCCAAGAGAGAATATCAAACTCTAATTCAGACAATAAAAAGGGTATTCACAGGGTATTCTAATTCCTTAGGAATATCTGCTATGATAAAAGAGATGCAACAGGATTAGGATTGCTGATCAGGCCAAACCTAATTACGATCAATAATCATTTTTTCCAAGCAGATTAAGCATTAAAATCGTTGCATCCAATAAAGAATAAGGTTTAAACATAAAACTCACAGTACAAAACATCAATTAGTCATTACAAAGCAATTCAGGGACACCTCCCTTGACATTGGGATGTTTAGCTACTCATGTTAATTATGAAAACAGGATCAAGAAGAAAATTCATTACAATAGGATTTGGATCGGTTGGATCGTCGATTGCTTCCGCTCTTGATCGATCCTCCTTCTCCTTGAATCACCACTCTAAACTTTTCTCCAATATGCTCTTTTTCAAAAAAATCCATCTCCCCCCGTTTCTCCACCCTAGTCTTTAATATAACAGTATTCTCAAATCTTCCACGGAATGTCCAAACTGCCCTCCACGTGTCCCCGTCTGCGCGTCAAAACAAAAAGGAATTTTTGCCTCAGGATGCCTGACACGGGCCGTGTTGTGGGACACGGGTGACCGTGTCAGGTCGCTGCTTCACATTAATGCAATTTGCGCCTTCAGAGGGCACAACACGGTCCGTGTTGTGCAACACGGGTGGCCGTGTTGTGTTGCTGGTTGTTGTATTTTTTTTTTTCAGCTGCAGATGCCATGACACGGGCCGTGTTGCACGACACGGGCACCCGTGTCATGCTTCTGAAATCTTCGCATCCGTGCGTTTCTTCTGTATTTGGACCATTTTCGCATTGGTGCTGGGCAGCCAACTAGACAGAAACCTGAAACACCTTGAAACAACAACCACATTACACGCACCAACGGTAAAAATGATAAAAACATGGACACCTGACTTGCTTACCAAAATCAGAGAATACTGTTGAAGCATAATTAAAATAGTAAAAGAAAACTCATGAAAACACAAGAATCAATACTAAAACTTGTTTGGAAAGTACGACAAAAGATCACTGATCAAACTCCCCCGAACTTGAACTTTTGCTTGACCTCAAGCAATAGCTTAAATTCTGCGGATGAAACGATGATACTCGTACGTGAGATTTCGTTCTAAAACACCGGATGAGTATTTCCTAGTAGTTCTCTCTCAATCGAGGTATCGCACGAATACTAAACCGCAGTGTACCACGGATCTGAATCTCCCTTGTGGTAACCTCTCTAACTATGCTTTGGGCTTAGGTCTTATTTTTCGATTTTCTACCCTTTTCATTCGGACAATCAATTTTAAGGCTTTTTATGATTTTTCGTTGCATGCACAAGATTGATCAAATGTATTTTTCTTTACACCCTTTTCTTCTCTTTTTTTTTTTTTCTTGCCCCTTTAGGGGCGACCTTTAGGTTCAATCGCCGTTAGGTTGAATAACCGGGTGAGGGTTACCCAACTTAGAAGGATCGATTGTCTAATTGTCTTTATTCGTTTTTTTTTTCGGTGCTTTTCTTTCTTTTTTTTTTTCGATCAACCTTGCACACACACTTAGTATAGATTAAGCCTGACTGTCAGTAGAAACTATTCGGGGTATACTTCTCAGATCAAAGTACCATGGCACAAATCTACACGTTAGACTCGTTCCTTACTCAGAAGACTCAGTGTGTTCGTGCTATACCTCAACATCAAGATTTTTCTAATTTCCCCAACCGGTTTTTTATTACTCAGCTCTACATACTTTCTCCCCGCTTCACTCACAACAACAAAAAACAAATGTAATATGCAGCACTCATCAATTTTTTCATCAATTTTTTCGTCCAAGTCGGAGTATTTTCATAACGGGCTTTCAACATATTTCCAAACAAGCAAACTTCAAAAAAAACTATTGGCTAAAACTGACACAGAGGAAGGAAAGAAAAAAAAACTAGAATACTATAACAAAACACATAAATACGCAAATAAATACCCCCACACTCGAACTCAACTGTGTCCTCACGGTTGAAGAACGAGTGCAGGAGTGGACTCACTGAGATCACTGAGGAGGTTGTTGGCCGTGCAGCCGCATCTGTTGCATCCACTCATGCATTTCCCCAATGAGCTTCCCTTGGCGGAGCTGCTCCTCCCTCTCTCTTTTCTGCTCATCGCCTTGCCGTGTCTGTTCACTACGGATGTAGCATATCTGATCGTGCATCCAATCCCAATCGTTTTTGGTCATGCTCCACGAACCGGTCGACGAGTCACCAGGATTCGGCATGGAAGTTTCTTCTGGGATCGGGTCCTCACCAGGTTGATCATCCGCTTCACCTTCCGAACCTGCCCAAACAAAATTTTCTCCATCGTCTTGCATGGGACTTGCGTACAACCAGTTAGCTTGTTTTTCAATAGAGATAAAATCAGGAGCAGGTAAAGCTAACAAATGGTGATTACGGGAAACCAGGGAATAATAATCATTAAAAACTTTTATCATACCTTGGGTGGTGAGTGTAGCTAAGTCAATCTTAGTCTTACCTCCCACTGTTGGTTCCTCCATCAGGTTCGGACCGTAGCCTAAGTAGTCAGCTATCTGGGTGATCATCCCTCCAACAGAAATGTCACCAGTAGCGGCATTGGCTACTCGCTTCAGATGATCGGCAGCAAAAGCGGCGATATTGATCAGTTCCCTGTTAGCCATGCCATAGAGCAAGTATAGCTCTCTTTGTGTGGCCACCCCGGTACTATCCCCTCTGCAGAAAAGGGAGTAGGCAAGTCCCTTTTGGGCATATCGAAAACAAGGGTTGTGAATGCAAGAAGCCTTGGCCCCCTTAGCGACATATTCAGCGTTTCCTGTAATTGCCTTCCAAAAGTCGCCTGCAACAAAAGTGGTGGGGGGTGCCCCAGGGCCAAAGCTCGGGAGCTTAAGAACGCGCCCCAACTCCTCGACTGATAGAGAATGGTCATTATCAAACAATCGAAACTTAAGAGTGCCAAAATACTCCTCATCCGAACCTGTCCACCTATGGCGAAGCTGAAAATCCAAAGAACTTAAAAATTCGAAGGTTATGCGCTCAAATGTCGGCGCTTCAAACTGCATAAATTCAAGCATGCCTAAAGTATGAAACATCCTATGTACCTCCATTCGCAGCCCTAAGTTATCAAGAGTTTCATTACAAATGTACCTGGCCGGAATCAATTTGCGTTTCACCAATCGAACATACTTGCGTTGATGCTCCGGATCCTCAAATAGAATACCATGAGCATTCGCCATGCGATGAGCTCGTTTCTTTGGGCGGGAGGATTCAGCGACAGCCTTTCCAGTATCTCTTCGCGGAGGCATGATAAGAACCTGTAATAATACAAATCAACAAAAATTCGACAGAGAGATTAGATGCAACGGAGACCGTAGAAATAACAATGGAGGTGAGATGATCAACTTTCTCAACAGGGATGAGGAGTTTTAGTGAGTGGGTTATGCTAAAAATGAAGCTTAAAGGAAGAGTGATAATGGAGGCTAGGGTTTGGAGAGTGAGAGAGAGGTAGAAGAAGAAAGGTTAATAACAAAATAATAAGAGTTAAAAGAGGGAAAAGAATTAAAACTCGTGGGCCCCACTAAAAAGTAGAAATTTCGCCCCCTTATCAGAGCGACACGGGCCGTGTCACACGACACGGGCACCCGTGTTGCATCCCTGCTTCACCCCAATTTTCTTTTTCATATTTTTTTCCTTCAGTGGCCACGACACGGGCCGTGTCACACGACACGGCCACCCGTGTTGTACCCCTGCTTCTCTCCACAAAGAAATTTTCATCACTGTATTCAGAAGCCACAACACGGGCCGTGTTGTACGACACGGCCGCCCGTGTTGTATCCCTGTTCTACCACACGCTTATCTCGAAAACCCAATTCCTAACACGGGTCGTGTCAAGCAACACGGGTAACCGTGTCAGGGCTCTGAAATCACACCAATTCAAGCATCATACTGCTTTTTCGACCTCGTTTATACGACACCTCTCTTTCCGGCTTGATCAGTGAGACACAACAACTATAGACCTACAAAATGAATCAAACAAAAATTAGAAGCAAAAAAAATCGTGGGTTGCCTCCCACGCAGCGCTGCGTTTATCGTCGCGTGGCTCGACGGTCCGTTGTCCTACTGAGTAAGACGAAGGATCTCAACCTGTCCAACCTTTTGACCTTGAAAATAAGGTTTAAGTCTCTGCCCATTAACTTTGAAGATGTCTCCATTGGCTTGATTCTTAATCTCGACCGCTCCAGACGGAAACACCTTGTGAACCACAAAGGGTCCGGACCATTTGGACCGCAATTTTCCTGGGAATAGCTTCAAGCGAGAATTGTACAGAAGGACCAGCTGTCCTTCCCAAAACTCTTTTTTCTGGATTCTCTCATCGTGCCACTTCTTGGTCTGCTCCTTGTAAACCTTGGCATTTTCATACGCATAATTCCGAAACTCTTCTAATTCATGCAGTTGCAGAATCCTAGAATTTCCTGCTAGAGATGCGTCCATGTTCAAGAATTTGGTTGCCCAAAAGGCCTTGTGTTCCAACTCTAGAGGCAGATGACAGGCTTTGCCATAGACAAGTTGGTATGGTGACATGCCGATAGGTGTTTTGAAAGCAGTTCGGTAAGCCCATAATGCATCATCTAACTTTGTTGCCCAATCTTTTCGCGACGAACTCACCGTCTTCTCCAGAATCTGCTTGAGCTGTCTATTAGACACTTCGACCTGACCACTCGTTTGAGGATGGTAAGGAGTGGCTACTCGGTGCTTCACATTGTATTTTTGAAGGAGTTTCTCCATGAGGTGATTTAGGAAGTGAGTTCCTCCATCACTTATCAATGCTCGCGGTACTCCGAACCTGGAAAAGATGTTCTCTCGCAAGAACTTGACTACTACCTTAGCATCATTGGTTGGTAAGGCTACCGCTTCCACCCATTTCGATACATAATCCACAGCAACAAGGATATAATTCTTCCCGAATGACGGTGGAAAGGGACCCATGAAGTCAATTCCCCAAACATCGAATAACTCGACCTCTAGCATGAAATTCTGGGGCATTTGATTTCTCTTTGATATGTTCCCGGTCCGCTGACACTTATCACACGCCTTCACCATCTCCTGGGCATCCTTGAACAATGTCGGCCAGTACAATCCTGATTGCAAAACTTTAGATGCAGTGCGGTCACCGCTAAAATGTCCACCGTATTCGGAATCATGACATGCTCTCAACACATCCCTCTGTTCTTCCTCAGGCACGCATCGTCGTATCAACCCGTCCACTCCTCTCTTGTACAGGTAAGGATCGTCCCATAGATAGAACCTGCAATCATGAACAAACTTTTTCTTACGGTTAGAATCATAATCATCTGGTATTATACCGCCAACAAGGTAGTTTGCATAATCCGCAAACCAAGGCACTCCAATAACAGCTAGGATGTGTTCATCAGCAAACTCATCCTTTATTGGACGCCGATCTTCAGTCTCCTCGATAGGTGACATTCGAGAGAGGTGATCCGCTACGGTGTTCTCACACCCTTTCTTGTCACGAATTTCTACATCGAACTCTTGGAGGAGTAAAATCCACCTCAGGAGTCTCGGCTTCGATTCCTGCTTAGCAAAAAGATATTTCAAAGCAGCATGGTCAGTGTACACAATTACTTTGGAACCCAATAGATATTGCCTGAACTTATCAAAGGCATAAACAACCGCTAACAACTCCTTCTCGGTAGTTGCATAATTCATCTGAGCAGGGTTCAACACGTGACTCGCATAATAAATAACATGAAGCAGCCTTTCTCTCCGTTGTCCAAGAACAGCCCCTACCACAATGTCGCTCGCATCACACATGATCTCAAAGGGGAAAGACCAATCCGGCGCGATCACAATGGGTGCCGACACCAGTTTATTTTTTAGTGTCTCAAAAGCATCGGCACACTCTTTGTTGAATACAAAAGGCTGGTCCTTAACTAACAGTGTCGTCAATGGCTTGGCTATTTTCGAAAAATCCCTGATGAACCTACGGTAGAACCCCGCATGGCCTAAGAAACTCCGAATACCTTTCTCATTCACAGGCGGCGGTAATTTCGAGATAACCTCTACTTTAGCTTGATCGACTTCGATCCCCTTGTGAGAAATCTTGTGACCCAGAACAATGCCTTCCCGTACCATGAAATGGCACTTTTCCCAGTTTAGGATCAGGCTGCTTTCTTGACATCGCTGCAAAACAAGTGAAAGGTTATCTAAACAATTATCAAAGGAGGATCCAAAAACAGAGAAGTCGTCCATGAAGACTTCCATATGCTTCTCAAGCATATCAGCAAAGATAGAAGTCATGCATCTTTGAAATGTTGCTGGGGCGTTGCACAACCCGAATGGCATCCTTCGATAAGCAAAGACACCGTAAGGGCAAGTGAAGGCTGTCTTCTCTTGATCCTCTGGTGTAACTGCAATTTGGTTGTACCCGGAGTATCCATCCAGAAAACAATAATAGTCATGCCCAGCTAACCTTTCCAACATCTGGTCAATGAATGGCAGCGGAAAATGATCTTTTCTTGTGGCTTGGTTTAGTCTCCGGTAGTCAATGCACACTCGCCACCCAGTGATCGTCCTAGTTGGGATCAAATCATTCTTTTCATTCACAACTACCGTAGTACCTCCTTTCTTGGGCACCACATGAACTGGACTCACCCATGAACTGTCGGAGATAGGGTAGATAAGTCCTGCATCTAACAGCTTTACAACTTCTTTTCTCACCACCTCCTTCATAACCGGGTTCAATCTCCTCTGGGGCTGCACCACTGGTTTGTGATCTTCTTCCATAAGAATTTTAGGCATGCAAACCGTCGGACTAATACCTTTGAGGTCTTCGATTTTCCAACCAATGGCACCTTTGAAGTTTCTAAGAACTTCAATTAACCTGTCTTCCTGCACACTTTGCAAATTAGAGCTAATGATCGCGGGACATTTTTTTTCAGTGTCAAGGAAAACGTATTTCAGATTCTCGGGAAGCTGTTTCAACTCTGAACTTTTTGGCTTGTCTTCATTACCGTTCAAATCTATAGGTTGCCTTAGGTCTTCCCACCTATGTGTCCGGGATCTTTTTAGAACAGGTTGAATATTCAACATTTCCACCACTTCCACTTCACTACTATCAACTGCTGCATTTTCCTCAAAAATTGACATACTCAGAACTCTTTCGAGAGGTAATTTGGCTACACTCTCCACATGATCCCTTTCTTCTACTTGCTCAAACACCTGAATGTTGCTACTTGTGCCAAAGTCCTCTTTATGTCTCATGGTATTACGAACATCTATTTTCAACTCTTCATCATAAACCTTCAAAGTAAGTGTACCCCCTTCCACATCGATCATAACTCTCCCGGTTTCCAAAAATGGGCGGCCTAAAATTAGCGGAATCTCTTCATCTTCCGGCATTTCAAGGATCACGAAATCCACTGGAAATACAAACTTATCCACTTTCACAAGAACGTCTTGAACAATTCCATAAGGCCGCTTAACAGAATGATCCGCAAATTGGAGAGTCATCCGAGTGTCTTGGACAGCACCAATACCTAACTTCTTGTAGATGGATAGAGGCATGAGACTGATACTAGCACCCAGATCGATTAATGCTCTCTTGAAAGATCTATCTCCAATAGTGCAAGGTATGGTAACTGCTCCTCTGTCTTTCTTCTTCTCTGGAATTTTTAGGCCCTGCAAAATAGCACTACAAGTTTCGGTTAGAATAATAGGTTCATCTGCACTGGTTCGTTTCTTAGCAATGATGTCCTTCATGAATTTAGCATATGTAGGCATCTGCTCAAGTGCCTCCAATAACGGAATATTCAGCTCCAGCTTTTTGAACAACTCAAGAAACTTCTCAAAATTCTTCTCTTGCTGCCCCTTTTTCTTATTTCTTTGGGGGTAAGGGAGTTTGATCATTGGTTTTGGCTCTCCTACTTTTTCTTTAGTAACCGAGGCTGGTATAACCAATTCCTCCTCAACTCTCTCATTCTCTTTTATGTCTAACTCCACTTCCAACAGTTTATCTTCATTTACCGATGTCTTTTCCACTTCTTCAACTGGTTTCCCTCTCCGTGTAGTGACAGCATTGACTTTATGATTGTCCTTAGGATTAGGCACAGTTGCGCTTGGGAGCGCTCCCGGTGTTTGAGGAATTGCAAAATGTTGGGCGATTTGACTCATTTGCACTTCAAGATTCTTAATTGAGGCTCCGGTATTCCTGAAATTGCTCCTTGTTTCTTCTTGGAATTGAGAACTGTGAGCGGCCATCTTCTCAATGGCGATTTCCCAATCCGCC